GACCAATGAGACTATACACCAATACCTGAAAAGATTTATCACTTTTTCGTATATTAAACTGTTAAAAGACATATCATTTGGAACAGTTTTGTGGATATTGATGGATACATTCCTCGAACAAGGTAATGGCCTGATATTGTTCCTATAACTTTAATCTGTTAATATTTGCATTTTGTTTTTATTCATTTGTCGTAGCATTCAACAGAATCATTGTTTTCGCCGTGAAGTGTAATGAGACAGACAACATGCACTAGGGTGTGTGTGCGAATTATGATTCACATTGGCAAACTATAAAATGTCTAGATATTACAGTTCTGTTAGAAATTCACTATGAGTATCAGTAGATCGTCTGCTTTTTATTTTTGTTTCAAAATGCATACAAGTGTGATAATAAACTAATTAGGATTATAAGACCAAATATAAAGACGCACATTGACTAGTATCTACACACTGGTGTGTGGACATTAACCATGGGAATGTAGCAAGAAATTTATCGCGCAGTATTGTGACTTCGACCCCCACCTCGCTTCCGTGGAAGAAATCGTTATGTTATAAGTTGTGTGATGCAAAATCAGTTTGGTCATGATTCCAATACATATTTATCTACGAGTAGAAAGTAGTCTTGATTTTCTAACTTGATGAAAACAAACTATAATCTCATTAATTCTAACAGATGTTTTATTTTTAAAATGGCATACTTCTGTCGGGAACATCCGCCAGTCTGAGGATAAATGGTATTTAGGTTTGTTTTCACCGAAAGTTATAAAATCAAACTATTTTTCTACTGGTAGTAAAACATTTATTTTATTGATGGCCAATAGGATTTTGCATGACATAGCGTATATCATAACAATTTTCTCGTGGCAGCCAGGTGGGTGTCAATATAATACTACTTTACAATATTATTGTTACCGACCACAACCTCACTTCCGAGGAAGAAATCGCTATGTTACAAGTTGTGTCATAGAAAATCTTTATGGTCATCAATCATATGCATATTTTACTACAACTAGTAAGTAGTTTTGATTCTTTAACTTCCGTGAAGCCATCTAAACACAAGTAAGATATCGTTTCAGGCTTCCACAACGCCGCTTCAGACTCACAAACATAACCGATTTAGCAACGAACTGCGCGGGTCCTGTGGAAATCTGTGCATGGGGACACCATCACCGACCCTAGGAGCAATTGGACGACAAAGCAACGATTCGGCATGTCGTAGTTGATGTCGAGAAATCATCAAAATGATGAGCGTGCTACACATTTTCTATACAACTAACTGAAAATCGTTCCTCATATGACGTCACTGCAGTGATCTGGCGACAGAGTTACGTAACCTGTCTGTGGTTTCGTTGGCGGACGAGAGGGAAGCAGGCGACTTTTTGGCCACTTTTAATCGCTCGGTATTAATTAACCACAAGTTTTTAAAGAATAAATTTGGTGTTCCGCATAAGACTAACCACAAATCTGTCATATGTAATGGTTAAAAGAGTAACAAAAAACAAAGTTTATTGGTTCTTTAACATCGCACTCAAAGACATTCCAGTTATATTACAGCGGCCTTAAAATAATCCTTCTTTATTCATGCCATTATCAACGATACACACAACTGTCATATGGTGACAGCATCACCAAGCCAGGTGGACCACCCGATCCCCATCTTGACTGGCATGGGTTACTGAATAACAAGATCTGCACGAGACAATATTTATTATGCACCGATAGCGACGCATTGAAATGACAAATCTATTTCGAGCTGCGTCACATGAAAAGAACATGTGAAAAGTAACAGCTCAACAAAAAAATACTACCGATTGATATTTCTTGCAATGATGTGCAGTTTATTGTGACATGCCCCTGAAGAGTGAAGTCTTGGTGGGAGTATCATTTGGTGGTTGTTGTAGTCACGAAGATCAATAAAAGAACACATACTACAGTTGATGCCAAGAGGAGTTATTGATGAGTAAAAGTTCCTGAAACATTATGTTTTCATTAAACATTATTGATAGTGGAGAAATATTCAAGTGGGATTCACTCTTATAGGAAAGTGCATTTGACCAAATAAATAGAATATCAGACGTTGGTTGGCCGGTTGTTTTGGTTTAATTTACGTCGCACGCAGCAACATTCCAGCAGTATGGCGGTGGTTTGTAAATATATGGACCAGGCAATCCAGTGATCAACATCGTGAACATAGATCATACGCAATTGGGACACAATGACATGTGTCAAGCAAGTCCGCGAGCCTGACCATCCGATCCCGTTAGTCGCCTTTAACGACAAGCATTGGTTGCTGAAGACCAGTTCTTACACGGATCTTCAAATGTGTACAAAGTCAGAAGTGGGTTACATTATTGTAAATGTTTTTTTACCAGAACGATGTATCATTTGTCTGCCAAAGTACATGTACTGTGATTTCTTCCACAAGTACACCACCTGAATTCACATGCTTTTCCATGTGTCTTCTTTCATACAGAAAATGCAGAAAAGTTTGGGCATTTTATGCGTAAAAAATCATTATTAGAGCAGAGTCGGCTATTACCGAACAAAATGTAATTTCCGTAATGTTTTCGCAAATTGCTGATCGTGATTTCTTCTATGAACCTAGCTTGACTGCGAAACTTCCTCCTAGCAAGACTAACGCTTAACTTAGAAAAAATAAACGCAAAGAAAAGAAAGAGGTGAGGTGAGGTGAAATTGGGTTTTACGTCGTTCTTGTGAATATTTCGCTCATATGACGAAGTGCATGCGTGTGTATGTGTATGTGCGGCTGCTTGTACTAGCCCAGACTTAAGCTGGTTTTATAGTGCTAGCCCACTGGACAAACAAGTACCATATTTTAACGTCTTTTGGTATGACGCGGTCGGGGATCGAACCTGCGACCTTCCGCTCTCCGGGCTGACGCTCTAACCACTACACCACAGAGGCGGTTAAGAAAAGAAAGAAACACAAAAGACAAACAATGGACATTACTTCTTATACGTGTAATGTATGTATGGGCAATTGGAAATCTAAGCCAACAGTCTGTCTAAATCCAAGATACCTTGAGCTCTTTCTAAAAAGACTTTTTAATGCATGACTTTGCTAGCAGTGCATTGATTGTACAGTACAAACAACAGTAGCACCTCACAGGTTCGCCCTGATGTCCTTTACCGAACAAGTCTCGCTGGCTTCAAAATCACGATGGGAAGAAACATAACACGATAATTGTGTCTCTATTTTCCATTAGTCTTGCAGAATTGCCTTAATATTAACATATGGCAGAACAAAGCCCTACTTGCACATCCGATGTATAAACTTAGTCTACTTTATGTTTAAGCCAAGGAAATGCAGCACATGTCCGGTTAAACAAACATGTATCACATGAACAACATAGCAAGAATCGTCAACGCTGATACGTGTCCTGCTCTAAAACACTCATGGATCACCTCACATGGTCCCAGCTATGTCGTACTAATTAGGAACAAACGGAGACAGCAACTCCAAATAAAAATGTGCGGAACAACTGGCTTTGTCTTCTATAACAGGCTGGTTGGGGCATGCCTTGACCGTGACCTTATTTAGGTGTCAAAGACCGTTAATCCCACTGTTTTGATACTTAAATGAGAGTGCTTTCGTTTGCCATGTGCATTCTTCTGAATGTATCAGACATTAAAAAAAAACATTTATCAAATTTCAGTTACGTTAGTCAATGTTAGCCGATACCCAAAGGCCACGAAAGGCCATACATTAGTTTGTCCTTAATAATAGTGTTTGTTTGGTCCTATTATTCTGAGAAGATAATAATTATATTTTGAACGACCGCAGTTGTGTTATTATCACCACGTCTATCCTAAAATAACTAATTCCATGTGTTATTACTCCCTCACATCATGAAAGAAAACAAATCCCCATCCACGCTTCATCAGTTATAACCTGTGAAGATCCGGGTTAGATTTGATCTTCACAAACCCACTTACTCATCAGTTAAATGATCGATCCCGTAACAAGTCCTGCAGATCAGCAATTTATGTAGAAGACAGTAAAGTATTTGTAAAATGTTTCAATTTAATAATTATTCACCAAAGCGCGCGTTTGTACCTTTTGAAAAGTTGACAAATATTGTCTGCAAAAACCTCGATCGATCGTCCGTAATGAAATAAAGAAAATGATGAAAAGTATTTATCATATATTCTGCAAGAAAGGTATGTTTTACAATAAGAATTTGTATACATGCATTGTTTCATTTCACAAACTATACTACCGACGACGTAAAATCATGTTTGTAGCTTTAGACAGGCTTCGAACAGTTCTCGATTAAACAGGGTTATCCTGCGCAGTCTGTAAGCAACCAATCAAATAACAAATGTTACCTTCTCGCCCTATTTCACACTTGGTGCCATACTTTGTGTTCGTTTACATCCTTGATATAATTTCAAGAATTGAAGTCCATTCGTTCATTCCCAATACTGCCTGGAATTGTTAGCATATTGCTTTAAGAGGAACGATTAGAGAGTTTGTTAACTTCCTGTTCACGTAGAAAACAAATGACAATTCGGCCAAGTAATGCTACTTCATCCACTGCTAATTTGTTATGACACACAGTTGGTTCGGAATAGACCCAAATGGCTGTTCGGAGTCCGACACGTTTCTACTTGAAATAATTATTCCCTACAAGAACAAATTGTTACACAAACTGTATTTTATTTGATACACTTATATGTCGATTGAATAATTATGTGGTTCAATCTTAATCACCAAACATGATTCATAGTGGCATGCCTGTAATTAGGGTGGCAAGCTGCTTGTTACAAATAATACAGTCGAAGCTGATGTAGTATTGCCAATTACTCCCATTCAATGTTGAACTAGTTTACAAAACCTCAAGACAGTCATCTGGAGGCTTATTGGTTTAAGGAAGCCTTGAATACTGTTGGCAAAGAAAAGTGTCCTTAAAGATTTCACATGTAATAATATTGATTTTTATGAGTAACTGTTTATCTTATATTTCATTTCTTTTTTAGGCGCAGAAGGAAGAGGAAGAAGAAGAAAAGTAAGTAAATATATGTTGTACTCATTTTATAGAGTTACCAATACTAATTCCAATAAGTAGTACAAGAGTGTAGTGTACAACTCTGTTAATCTGTCATCGCACTGTGTCTTTGAGTCACCCAGTTAAGATCTGTCGGATTTCCATTATAATTTTGGTGACATATTATTGCCGTAAGATGCCACTAAAAATTATCATGTGATCAGGGTCGGCGACTTTCTGAGTTGCCCTCTTTGGTATGTTTATGTATGTTTGGTATGTTCTGATATCACCGACCTGCTGTGTGTTACGTATTGTCGTGATCATATAACTTAACATGTCTTTACAATAGCCCACACATTTGCCTTAACAGATGCATACAAACCCCCAAAACATCATAGCGGGAAATCCTGTCTTTGACAATAAATATGGATTCCCTAATTGTGGTGGCGTTATTTTGATTTATGCTTCACAGCAGTCATGACACATGAGCATAGAATGGTTAAACGGAATCAATACATCTCATTTCATTTCTATCTTCAGGTGGATTATACCTTGCAGATGGGCAGGGATTTCTCACAGGTATGTCAAACACTGAAAAATACTATTATCTCGTTTCAAAGCTACTCCATCCAGGTTACAACACACACCATTGTTCTGGGGTAAAGACTTCCGCTATCTGCAGCATCCGACATTGCACAATAAACACCACTCGCAGCATCACCAAAGCCGGAAACGGTTGACAGTTTAAAGAAGACACTCCAAGTGCCCCTGCTAGAAGTTCAATATATGTAATAATTAACTTTCATTGTCCAGAAAGGAGGGATGGTTTGTGACCTTTTTCTTAACGGACCAATATCTGCGGACTACATGTGGGGATGGTTGACGCAATGATGTTCCATGTCTATGATCACACTTAACTGCTTTAGAAAATGAAACCAAAACAATCACATTCCAGGTTACAATCAAAGTTTATCCTTATATAGCTTTATGTTTCGTATCCTGTTTAAGACGAGATACAATACGATACGTTCAAATCCAGACCGGTCACAGCTCCATAGTTGATACCCCGTTCACGGCTCACAGACCGTCACAACATAGCTGCAATATTGCCGAGTGCGGCGTTAAACAACAAACAAATACGGCCCAGTAGGGGATACTGACATATTTTACTAACGCTTCTTGTAGATTCTTCATGCAACAACTGTACGCGAGTTCGAAAAGGGGAACACCAGAAATAGGCTTCACACATCGTACCCATGTTGGGAATCGAACACGGTTCTTCGGCGTGACGAGCGAACGCTTTAAACACTTGACTTCCCACTACCCCTACACTTATTAAATGTTCAAGTAACATAGCCCATACATCCATACGACACAATAATTATTGTTAACACATCAAAAAACAGCTGTATGGCGTTGTTAATCTAGGGTCCTAATTGTCTTTTTGAGGCATTCGAGATTTCAATATTTCGATTGAAATGCTTCCGCCAACCTATAATGTCTTGCTGTATATTGCACGTTAATATTAAAAGTATTATGATATACTAGGTTTGTATAGACTATGTGATAGTCTGGTAGTTTACTGTCCTTTGTTGACAGGCATGTATGTACTAGAATGTATTCATTCCTGGAGGCTTCATTAGTCACGATATGAATAGACAATTTTTGAGTATAATTTCTCAGTATATAATGTACAAATATGTGCACTCTAATTTTCCCAAACGCGTCTTGTGGTAATGGAAATATCATAACTTTGAAGCCTTTGGAGGTATGATCGTTGTCACTTGCGGGGTTTTGGCACTATGTAAAAGGAAAGACGTGTAATGAGGTCAACACACCAAGTTCTTTTCACCAATGTTTTCTGTATGTACCCCCATTAAACTTCAGAATCATTGAAAGCCAATAGATTTACATACACAATCAGACAAACATGACAAAAATCAATGGCTGTTTCGGATGCTCAAAGAATTGTGACTTTTCGATTCGGAGCCAAACTCCTTGCTCAGAAGTTATTCCGCTAACTTACCGAATTTCTTGTATATGTATATTGGTCAACTCACATTACAAGAAGACCATTATTTGCCATTAGTGGCCATCTCGTATTATTCCCGGTCAAGCCAAATACCGACTCGGGTCCCTCTGGAAGGATTTCATATTGGCGTATGAACTCAAACAAGATAAACAACTCTACTGCTGTTTAATTCCAACAGTACTAAACATTACCGGCGCACTCTAAAATTGTTGCCTATAAAAGATTTAATCTGATTAAAACAATGATGATGATGATGATGATGATGATGATGATGATGATGATGATGATGATGATGATGATGATGATGATGATGATGATGATGATGATGATGATGATGATGATGATGATGATGATGACGATGATGATGACGATGATTTGATGAAAACATATTCTAATGTTATATTACCTGCTGCTACCACATTATATATCCAAATGTGTTTTCCTAAAATGTAGCAAATGATATTTTCTTCTTCCATTTATTTCAGCTGAACTTAATCCCAAAATATATACACAAAAATGACTTTACTATAAATGTCAAACTCAGGAATTTGTGAATAGTCCTATCGTGATTTAGCGTACGCGATTTCTACCAGTAATCTGAACTTGCATGCAAACCTTGCTACCTAAATTCCACCACTTGTGGAATTTACAATGAACACGCTGAGAACTTCTGAAGGAACTAAAAAAATGTCAGTCTGAGATATGCCCAGTGAAGTGATATGTACGCAGGGTGTTCACTTTGCTTAGTTTCATAGAAATATATTATCTGAAACTCGTAACTGTCAGTAATTACATTAATTAAAAAAAGTCGCACGTAAAATCTGCAAAGCAAGACCGCAAGATCGTCCGAGAAAACACTCAGTTGGAAACACGAGAACCATTATGTTACGTGCCAGTTGATGGCCCTATCCATATTAAAGAAATAAGGCAACAAAAGTATGTCAGTTATGTTCTTTGTAAATGAAGATATATATTTTCATGATTTCTTAAACTATCATATAATGCCATAACCTATTTAAATACTCGAGAATCTATGTTTATCAAAGTACCTCAGTCCTTATGCGCATTCTGACTGGTTTGAAAACAAGAAGACAAAGTCATTAGTATCTCCCGCAACGGCAAAATACTCTTTATGAATATGTCTACTAGTTATGATTATGTCAAATGTTTTGGAATGTATACAGCAAAGTGGAAGCAGAGTATTGAAAGGGGTTTAAAGGAGAATACGAGTAGTTATGTATGAGTCGCTATCCGGCAATTTTGAATGGGGATTCCTATGTTAAATTTTTCGATAAAAAGAGGTACCCCAATTAGCGAGCTCTGCCGCGGCGAGCGACCGTCGCCCACTAATTAAACACCTCGCCGCGTAGGGTAAACACCAGTCCCGGGAAGCTAGCGAGAAAAGTACACAGACATCGAGTCAAAAGTAAACAATATACGTACTCGCGAGAACCATAAAACATACACACATACAAACACCGAACTCATTGTATATTTCGCGATGGATACGAAACAATATCAGTGGGTTATTGTCGCCAAGCCACCACAACGGTATAGAGCGCATTTCTCTGACGAAGTGAAGTCGTGTTGGGATGTAGTCAACGTTGGTATTATTCAAAAGGAGAGTGTGTGTAGCCATCTGGAAGAGAAGCTGCGATATCGAATTCGTGGACATTCGGACTCATGGGAAGCCGTGCACATTTATATATTCTCGGACAGCGCACAATCACCGTGAGTCCTTACATCATAGCGGACAGGAAATGAACTTACCAACAGAAGTGGATCGAAATAGACTCTGAGAGAGTAGCGGCATATTTGGAATACTATCTATCGTAGCATATGCCTTGGTGGTATGGAAATTCATAAAAAGTATGAGAGGGAGACAGAGCGATTTCGATACATTTTTTTCTACGTCTATGAAAGCCGATTGACGAAGACGCCGTTATTCTGAAGTGGCGTCAGTGCACGTGGATGGTGATCCAGTATCTCATGGCGTCATCTCTCCACTATATTTTCTGAAATATCAATGTAGAGACTACCGAGACACCAGTATCAAAACCGACCAATGGATGAACCATATCAAACGACGGTTAAACGTTGGTGTGTGAAAGTATAGTCATGCAGGTTGATTATCATCAGGAATACTACGATCCCAGGAAACCAGGCGCTTTTGCGGGTGAACAAAAATTTTATGCCGCTCTGAAGCATCGTAACCCTAATGTCTCTTCTCATGGCGTCACGAAGATGGATGAGAGCGCCAAGACGCCTACAACCTACATCGTTTACCAAAGAAAGCGATTTTCAAGAAATAAAGTCATCATTGGGAGGAATGTACGTACAAGCGACGGAGACTTATGCGACGTTTCTAGGTTAAGCATAAGACAACGATGGAATTAAGTATATTCTCATCGTGTCGACTGCTTTTCGAGGTATGTCTGGGTCCGACCTATGGTAAATAAAGAATCAAACCACGACTGCCAAAGCTATGAGGGAACTATTGTCATCCATGGAGAAACCGCCATACACATTAAGAACGGACAAAGGAAAGGAATTTAATAATCAAACAGTGCGACGGATTTACACTCTATTTAACGTCAAACATTTTGTTACATAAAACTCAGACATTAAAGCGAACTACGCCGAACGTTTCATTCTGTATTGTACTTTGAGATCTATGATGTATAGATTTCTCCGCATACAAGCATACCCATAGGTACATCGACGTATTACAAGACCTTGTTTATAATTACAACCATCGCCCGCACAGGAGCCTGAGAGGAAGAGCACCTGTGGAAGTGAAACCATCAAACGAAGCTAGCATATGGTTGGATATATACTGGCGGACAAGCGAATATCAAACCTCTCTGAAACAGCAACTTTGCATTTAAAGTAGGAGACCACGTCAGAGCATCATTGGTCAAGAGAACGTTCGAGAAGGAATAACGAACAGAAATGGTCGGAAGAAGTGTTTAGGATACGTCAGCGACAACTCAGAGACAATATACGCGTTATATTGGATAGAAGACCTTCAATCCGATCCCATTAAAGGATCCTTTTATCAAAACGAGTTGCAGAAATATCCTCCACGATCCCAACGAAGTGAATTGGAGTGTTGAACAAATACTCAAAACGAAATACGCCGGTAAGAAAGGGAGTAAGAAAAGGACCAAACGTGTTTTAGTGAAGTGGTTGGGATATCCAAAGAAATTCAATTCATTGATCGGCGCTGACCAAATCAAGAGCGTACAAGTAGTGAGAGAATGATGTCAACGGAATGGATTGTGACTAAGAGCGGCGATAGCGTCGAGTATTTTCCTGAAAATAAACCTTATAAATTTTCCGTGTACCTGAAACAACCACTCAGACTGAAGCGGACATTGGACCATATCACTACGAAGTATCGCCAGAAGGAAGAACGCCAATAAGAAAAGAGATGTTTTGAATGGAATGTTGTATATATTCTGTTCCATTTGCGAACCGATCATAGTACACGGTCAACGTCAACCTCTGTTGAGACGAGTGCAACAGTCAACAGCATCGGCGTGGAAGGCTACGTTCTCGAACCCTACGACATCGGCGTGAGAGTGATTAACGATACCGTGGAAGCGGTTGGATGTTTATATAACGGACGCCTGGGGCAATCCAGCCACTTTTCTGGACGGACATTTCGTCTATCACTCTGCAGTTGAGACCATATCCTTTAATTACATAACATTTTAGTGT